ATGCGGTGGGGGATCCCCTGGGGTCAGTTGGGGTCGGCTGCCCCTGCCGTGTCCCCTCCCAGCTCCCTGTGGCCCTGGCAGAGCAGGGAAGCTGAGAAGTCCTTGCCCGGTGTAAGCCCTGCTCAGCACCAACTGAGCCACCCGGGTGGTGTCAACATTCTTCTCAGGCTCAGTCCACAACACAGCACTGTGCCAGCTCCTGGGAAGAAAACGAACTCTGTCCCAGCCAAAATCAGGACAGTATCCACCCTTTATTCCACACCATTTACATCATGCTTGAGTCCCACACTATCTGATACATCCTCATTAACCACCTCCCCTTCCCATCCTTTGATATAATACAGAGAAATCATTCCCTTAGCCTGTGGACCACCCTTGTAAAATGTCCATAAAACATCCTGAAATGTCCACAAAATGTCCAGTGAGTTCATTTGGTGCCTGACTTTGGGCTCCATCTGTTATGGTGGTCACTCAGGACGGGAGAGGGGCTGTCTTGAGTGGAGTTGCTGGGCACCAAAACCAGCTCAGGTCAGTACAGTGGGGCAAGCAAGCCCCGGGGCAAGCACAGAAGCTTGCCAATGAAGAGGCAAACAGCCATAACATCTACAAATTCGATCCAACACATTCCAATCTAACTTGTCGTTATCTTGAACCCTTTGAGCCCCACCTCGGGCACCATAAAGGATTGTTTTGGTTCAACTCCTGTGGGTAACCCAGCGCTCGCTCCCTGCCCCCCGGTGGGGCGGGGGGGAGAATCGGAAGCGTAAAAGTGAGAAAACTCATGGGTTGAGATAAAGACCATTCAATGGGTAAAGCAAAAGTGGCGCACACAAGCAAAGCAAAGCAAGGGATTCACTCCCCTCTTCCCACGGGCAGGCGGGTGCTCAGCCATCTCCAGGAGAGCCGGGCTCCATCACATGTAACGGTGACATGGGCAGACAAATGCCATCACTCCGAGTGTCCCCTGCTTCCTTCTTCTTCCCCCAGCTCTAGGTGCTCAGCAGGACGTCATGCGGCGTGGGATACCCTGGGGTCAGTTGGGGTCGGCTGTCCCCGCAGTGTCCCCTCCCAGCTCCCTGTGGCCCTGGCAGAGCAGGGAAGCTGAGAAGTCCTTGCCCGGTGTAAGCCCTGCTCAGCACCAACTGAGCCACCCGGGTGGTGTCAACATTCTTCTCAGGCTCAGTCCACAACACAGCACTGTGCCAGCTCCTGGGAAGAAAACGAACTCTGTCCCAGCCAAAATCAGGACAGTATCCACCCTTTATTCCACACCATTTACATCATGCTTGAGTCCCACACTATCTGATACATCCTCATTAACCACCTCCCCTTCCCATCCTTTGATATAATACAGAGAAATCATTCCCTTAGCCTGTGGACCACCCTTGTAAAATGTCCATAAAACATCCTGAAATGTCCACAAAATGTCCAGTGAGTTCATTTGGTGCCTGACTTTGGGCTCCATCTGTTATGGTGGTCACTCAGGACGGGAGAGGGGCTGTCTTGAGTGGAGTTGCTGGGCACCAAAACCAGCTCAGGTCAGGTCACTGCTGCACTTGCACTGCTTCTTGTAAGGCTTCTCCTCCGTTGGTTCAGGTGGTTCCTGCTGTAGTTATTCCTATAACTTGCAGCTCAAATCCTGGGTTACAGCAATTTAAAGTAGTTCCATTACAATCTCCACCCCTGTGCCTTTGGACCAGACCACTGGGTTTAACGTTGCAATGATCCCCTGCCCTGGCTTGGGCTTATCCACGGACTGCAGTCCCTTAGGGGTGTACCCACTCCAAGTGGAGCCTTATCTACGAGCTACCGTCTCTCCAGGGCTGTACCTGCTGCGCTGTAGACTTATCCACAGCCGCAGTTGCTTTGAGGTGTACCTGCTCCAGCGTGGCCTTCTCCTCGGGCCACAATGCCCAGAGATAGACCGGTTGTTCCTGTTACAGTAATTCCCATAATATGCAACTCAGATACCAGGTTACAACAATTTAAAGGTAGTTCCATTACAGTCTCCACCCCGGTCACTTTGGGCCAGGTTATAGGATTTAACTTTGCAATGAACTCCTCCCCTTGCCCCTGCTCTGAGTGGAGCCTTGGCTCTATGAGCCACAGTCTCTCCAGGGGTATACCTGCTGCGGCATAGCCTTATCCATAGCTGCAGTTGCTTTGAGGTGCACCTGCTCCAGCATGGACTTCTCCATGGGCCACAATGCCTTCAGAGATAGACCTGCTCCAGCGTGGCCTTACCCACAGCCACAGGCCCTTCAGGAGTCAGCTTGCTCCAGCATGGCCTCATCCATGGCTGTCGTGCTTACCTTGCTCTGTCATGGGCTTATCCATGGCCACATGCTCTGAGGTGCTCCAGCATGCCCTCATGCCCAGCCACTGGTGCTTCAAGATGTACCTGCTGCAGCATGGACTTCTCCTTGGCCCACAATCCTTCTAGAGGTACACCTGCTGTGGCACAGACATAACCACGGCCACAGACGCTGCAAGATGTGCCTGTTCTGATGTGGACTTATCCACGGCCACAGACACTTTGGGGTGTCCTGCTGCCACATGGACTCATCCCCAGGTCACAGCCCCTTTGACCCAAGTTGACACTGGAGTTCCAACCTGTCCAGTACAGCAGCCCAGGACCAGCAGTGGTACCCTGGCCATTGGCCAGCCCAGGCGCATGGCCACGGCTGTTATCAACGTGCTCCCAGGCAGGGCAGAGTGAGATATCAGCAGTAGGGCAGTACAGCAAGCAGAGGGAGCAGCCACAGCGAAAAGCAGCCACTAACGAGCGCTACACTCTAATATACAGTGGGGCAAGCAAGCCCCGGGGCAAGCACAGAAGCTTGCCAATGAAGAGGCAAACAGCCATAACATCTACAAATTCGATCCAACACATT